GGGTTGGCGCGAGTTCGCCCGGGGACGGTCCGGGCGTCGGTGTTTCTGCTGCTGGGATAGCACGTTATGATGAAGGGGGAAAAGGGCGCAAAGGGGGGGTCTGCTCAAAATCAGAGGCGTGGGCTGCACACATCACGCTGGCGTATGCACCTGCACCCCTGCGACCGACCGCCGATTGCCCGCCCCGCTTCTGGCGTCCCTCCCCTCGGGCAGGCCGCCGCCGCTGGCGGCCGCAAGCGCCGCAACGCGGCGGGCGACGGCGAGGGCGACGACGGCGACGAGTTCTTCCGCGCTGCCAAGGCGGCGCGCGCGGCGGCCAAGGCGGACCGGCGCGCGCGCCACGAGGTGCCGGCGCTGGCGCCGCCGCTGCCTGACGAGAGCCGGGAGGGGCAGCGGCCGATCAGCTACGCCATTCAGAAGAACAGGGGCCTCACGCCACATAGGTTTGAGGGGGTCCGGGCTCGCAGCCGCGCGCTTCCCGGGGACGAGCATGTTGCGGGGACGCCCCTGGGCACCCTGCACTCGCGCCTGCGGGGACGCGCCTTTGCAGCACCGCGCCTACGCCCGCGGGTGCGGGCGGTTTGGCGCTGGCGGCGCTTGCGCGCATCCGCACGGGGGCCTGGTTCGGCTGGCGCGCGCCTGGCTTGCCACAAAGCATCGGCACCCTGCTGCATGTGCCAACTCCCCACTCATCAAACCACTTTTTCATCCACAGCTTGTATCGTGTTGAACCTAACAACCTGACGAGCAAAACATCCGCCATTTACACAAACTCACAATTGTGCGTGCATGCCACTACACACACGTGTACACGCACACCCACTCTTTCACACACATACACACCCTCTCGACCCCCCCCCCTCAAAGGCGGAAGGACCTCAAGAACCCGCGCAAGAAGCACCGCATCAAATTCGCCGCCGCACAGGTGCTCAGCCTCCCCCGCCGCGCTCGGCCGCGGGAGCCTGCGGCGCTGCCGTGCTGGGGCGGCGGGCGCTGTCTTGCCCCGTCTGTCAGGGTTTGGGGGGGGGGGTAACGGGGAAGAGAGTGTGAAGGGGGGATGATGGGGGCGCAAGGCCATGCCCCCCTCCTTCCGCTCTTCATCCCCACTCCACCCTGCAAACCGAACCCCAACTTCAACCCACCCCAACCTACACCACTCCACCCTGCAAACCGAACCCAAACCAACCCCAACCTAACCCTGCCCAAACCCCACCCTACCCCCCACCCCCCAGGTGCGGCGCAAGGGCCAGGTCCAGGGTGTGCGCGAGGCCCCCGGGGCCGGGTACTCTGGGGAGGCCACCGGCGTCAAGGCAAACGTGGCCAAGAGCCGCAGGCTGGGATGACATTGACATGGCCGGCCCCCACTGCACGCTCGCGGGCGCTGTTGGGCGGCGCCCAGCAGGGGCCCTTTTTGTTGCGCGCCAAGCTTGCTTGTGTGTTTGCCGTGTCATGGTGTTTCTGGCATGTTGCTGTTCGTTGCTTTTTGCGATGGATCCCTTCGGCACATTGGTGTGTCTGCAGTCTTGTAGGGGCATCCGCCAATGCACAATTGACCTTGTGGCTTTCTCATTTGTGTAAGGCGTGGCCTTGTTCCTGCGCTGAGCTAGGCGTGCAGTAGGGGTGAGGGTTGCCGAGAGGTTGTGACAGTTAGGTGGGCTTGAAGTCCGCCCTGTTTTTCTCCTTTAAATGAACTGGGCCTCTGGGTGGAACAAGCCAGAGTGCTACGTGGGCAAGGGGGCAGCGGTGGGTGTGGATGGCTGCGGCCGCTGCTGCCTCAAAAGAGAGTGAAGGGGCCGGCGGGACGAGGAGCTTGGGTGCAGGAAGAGAAGGGGAGAAGGCTAAGATGTCAGGTGGTGTTTGTGATGTGTATGTGAGCGACAGGTGTAAGGACAAGATTATGCCTGCCCCCTGACTTCCTGCCTGCCTCCAGGTTGTGCCCTATTGCCAAATGTGATGGACACCAGCGACAGCTCGTTGCAATCTCCTCTGCCAGTCTAAACTCAGCAGCCCACCTTGTTACGCGCTGCTCACACGCGCGTGGGTGTCGACCCACAAACCAGGAGAGCACGATGCTGCGGGCCACTTTATTTGAAGCCTGCCAGCAGGTTGGTGCGCTGCGTGCATTGCGTCAAGTGCTGGCGGGGATTGACAGGAGCACAGGCGTTGAGGAGGCTCCAACCAGCAGGGGGACCACGCAGGCCTGCCGCCGGCTGCTCCCCCGCAGACCCCTAGGGAGCCGCGGGAGCAAAACGGGCCGATGTTAGTTGATGCATGAGGTTGGCGGCGGCTGATCTGATGTTGGCGGGCTGCGGGCGACGACGAGGCTGCTGGAACTGCCACACGCTGGGCCAGTTACGGCAGGACGGCTGGGGTGGGCGCCGCGCCAGCTGCTCCTGCCTTGTACCGCCGATTGATTTCTCACAGTCGAGGAGGAGGGGAGAGAGAGGGCGCACCGGTGGATCGCTCAGCTTCAGCGTGCGCACAGCGGCTGGTGCCAGTCAAAGCGCCTAGGTAGGCCTACCAGCCTGACAAGAGGCGTGCTTGCGCGCATGATAAGCTCGGGCACGATGTGCTCTGTTTTCCCTCACAGGAGGCGACGGCCGCGACGCAGGCATGTTTGAAGGGTCCACGCCCGCCATGCGGCCCGACGCGCCGCACCCGGTGGAAGGCAGCGCGAGGATACCTTGCAGGCTGACCGCGCCCAGCGAAGCGTTGTGTTGGTCAGGTATCAAATTGTCGGTGAGACGCTCAACCCCACCAGAGCTGGGAGGGGAGAATCAGATATCACGAGCACCACCTCATCAATTGCGCCGCAAGCTGCCACACACAGCCGTCGCCGACTCATCCTGGTGAATTCGATTCGCGAGCAATTGTTTTTCCCCTCGATGTTCCATATGCATGTATCAGTGCAGAGTCTTGGCTACCAGCATACACCAGCTTCAAAATCTGGATTGTGAAGCAAGCCATGTGGGGGCACTGCTGTCCCAGCATCAAATTTTATGGGCGCTGGGCACCTCGATCGCCCAGGCGAGAGGACACACGCCTCTGATATCATGCGATTATAATCCCACAAACACCAATGTAAAAACAAGGTACATAGGTCGAAAAATGCCAGCCTAGCCAGAGTGGTCAATTGGATGCAGCTGTCGGGTAGAGGGGCTGATACTTTTTCTGGTTGATAGTATGTAACCAGATTGAACGTGCATGCGTGTTGAGGCTAACCAAGTTATGCCAGCAGTGCTGAAGCGGTGAGGGGTGAGGCAAGAGGCGCTGCTGGTGGTGGGAATTGCTGGCGAAGGTGGGGACAAGCGCGCCACTGCAGGGTACTACCCAGTCAGCAACCTACCGTCACCACAGTTGCACAAGCAAAGCCAAGCATTGATGGGACAAATGGGTCTTCAGTGCATTGGCACTACAAATCAAGAGCCATGCAACATTGAGTTCTTGGAGGGGGTGCTTCCTACACAGTTGCACCGCCCGCGCCCCTTCGCCACCACTCAACTCGGTGAGATGCACAACAGCTGGCGCCAGCTTGAACGTCTCCAAGGAGGTTGGTGACTGTGAGCAGTCCCTTCTTGTGCATGACCACACGGCACATGGTATGTCGCCAAAACATAGAAAAAAATAAAATACATGGTCGGAGTGGTAAAACCTAGTGCGATTGCCGGGACTCAACCTGGGTCATCAACATGGGAAATTGATATGATATCCATCACACGCACACACGTGCAAGTGCGCAGACCCACCCACCCAAGCATGCACGCCCAGACTCAGGCAGAGGCACGCTTGGCAACCTATGCTCAGGCTGTGCAACCAGCAGCCCCGATGCACCCACGCATCACAGCCGCTCAACGTCCCTCGCTCGTAGCTCCTCGCCACCTCGCTCTCACACTTTCAGACAAAACAAACCCTGTTGCATGGTCAAGAGACGTAAGCAGTGCGCCATGTCCTGCAACAGGACTGGTGCGCCTTTTGGCATCACCAAACAGTCCCTCGGGCGTGGCAATGCACAAGAGTGCGGGGCGCGTGTTCGGCGCTGTCATTGCAGCTGCGGCGTTGTCCGGCCTTGCTTGTGACGAGGGTCACAACACGAAACCCCTGGATTTGCCGCTCAAAAGCTCACACGCCGCCCCGGCTGCGCCCGATATCACCAGCCACGCGGGGACGCCGGCGTCCGCGGCGGGCGGCCAGCCGCACCGCTCGCCGATGCATACACCTCCGTCAGCGGGGGCCTCGCGGGCCCAGAGTGCCGCAGCCCCAAGATCGCGGCCGCCGCCGCTGTGCAGCATGGCGACTCTGCTGCTTCAGCAAGTTTCTGCCCTACTGGTGGTGAGCCTGTCGCTGCTGCCGTGTGTGCTGCCGTGTAGGTTGCCCAGAGTCAACAGGATGTTGCGTGTGGGAAAGCAGGACCGCTGCCCCTTGCGCCGTCCGTGCATTCCCCTAGCAACTGTGCAGACGCCCCAAGCGCCGCCCCACGAACCCAGCCGTGTCCTGCATACGCATCAGACCTGTCCCCGGCCGCAGTTAAACCCAGCCCTCCGCTACCAAAGGCTTTTGCCGCCGCTGTCGCTGCCGCCGCCGCCGCAGCTGCCGCAGCTGCTGCTGCTGCTGCTGCTGCTGCTGCTGCTGCTGCTGCTGTTGCTGTCGCTGCCGCCGCTGCGCTGCATCTGATGCCGCTGCTGTCTCTGCTGCCACCGGTCCTGCTGCCACTGGTCCTGCTGCTGCTGCTGCTGCTGCTGCTGCTGCTGCCCCCGCTGCCCCTGCCGCCGCTGCTGATGCTGATGCCACTGCTGCCGCTGCGGCTGCATTTGATGCCGCTGCTGTCTCTAATGCCATTGGCCCTGCTGCTGCCGCTGCTGCCGCTGCTGCCGCTGCTGCCGCTGCTGCTGCTGCGGCTGCTTCTGATCCCGTTGCTGTCTCTGCTGCCACTGGCCCTGCTGCTGCTGCTGCTGCTGCTGCTGCTGCTGCTGCTGCTGCTGCTGCTGCTGCTGCTGCTGCTGCTGCTGCTGCTGCTGCTGCTGCTGCTGCTGCTGCTGCGCCTCGCCGACTGCACAAGACACGGTTGTGGCTGACTCTCCTGCTGCCGAAGTCGTGTCCATGCCTCGCGCTGGGCTCGCTCTGACTTTTTCCTCCAGTGTACTGTTGGGCCCTGTGTCCAGGCTTCCTCTAGGGTGCGCCTGCCGCAGCTGTTGCTGACGCCCACGCTGCTGCCACGTGTCACAAAAAAATAGCTTGGGTTGCTTAACAAGTTGCTTTTCTGTGCTGTGTTACAATCGTCTGAATCAGCTAGACTCCTCCCGCCATTATAACCGCCATTGGTTGCATTGAAACAACATGGGGTTCACTATAAATTGGCCGCCCAGTGTTGTCGGCGGCCTCAAAAACCAACAACCATACGAAATGACTGAAGGCGCATACGCAGAGCATCCAGGATGCACAGCATACACCCAGGAGACCTGCCTGGCCCTGGGCCCTGGGGCCTCTTCAAGGCACAGGCGTGCCGCACGTTTGGCCGCCTGCAGTAGCCGCAGCGCCGCGGCGCGGTACCTGCGCCCCCGGCCCCCTACCTGCCGCCGGCGCCCCATGGTACGTAGTAAGGGCATGCCTTTGCAGGGGTTCTTGCCCGGGACCCGCTGGCACCCCTGCGCTGCATCGCAGGCGGCGCACGCAGGGGTTGCAGGGCCATGGTCAGGCGCGACGTGCGTCGTGCAACGCCACGCTGTAAGGTGGGGACAGGCCATCAGTGCTGAGAGATGTAAGGAACAAGAGACATGACATCACTGGTGGAGACGAGCCGAACGACAGTGATGAGATAGACTGAGTAAACAAGACACCAAAAACACACATTGCTGAGGAACGAGGAAGCCTTGCTGCGCGTGGCGCCCCCGCGCTGGCCAACAGCACAGCAGCAGGGCTGCATGGGCTGGTGCCCCTGGATATCAAGGGGCTATGGCGCGTCCTTGGGGCCAACCCGCGCATGCAGTCCTGGGGCTGCACGCGGGCACATCGCGGCAAGCACCAGCGAGTAGCGCCGTGCGCGCGTCAGCCGCACGACAAAGTGTTGACACACATGGAAGGAGGACTTGGTATTGAAAAGGGTACTAGATCTGAGCGAAGATAGGGTGTGCATGTGGTTGCACACAACCGTGGGCGCCGCTCTGCTGTGCTTTGTTACCAGCTGTACTCCTCCCGCCATTTTGACCAACGGGTTTAACAACAACAAGGGTTCAATACAAACTGGCCGACCAGTGCCAAAAACCAACAAGCACAGGCGCGGGACAGTACACAAACAATCAAAATCACTGAAGGCGTACACACCGAGCAGTGAGGGCGCATGGCACACACCGAGGAGACACTGTAACACTCCTCATCGTAATCCTGACCCTCATTGTAATTTAAATTAATCCTGATCCTAATCCACGCCTGGCCCTGGGCCCCCGGCCCTCTGGCTGTTTGGTCGCCTGCAGCAGCAGTAGCAAGGTATCCGCGCCCCTGCGCCCCCCCCCCCCCCGACGGCGCCCCATGTTGATTACGAAAATGACTGCATTGACGTGTCTGCAGCTGCAAGACTGTCCTTGTGAGCTTTTCTTTTCGTTGTTACAATCGTCTAGGCCAGCTAGACTCCTCCCGCCACTGTGACCAACCGGTGCAAAACAAACAACAGGGGTTCAATACGAAACCAGCCGCCCAGCGCTGACGGTGTGAGCAAGCGCGGTTTTTGCTTTGCTTTGTTACAATCGTCTAGGCTAGCTGGACTCCTCCCGCCACTGTGACCCACCGGTGTGAAACAACAACAGGAGTTGAGCGCAAACTAGCCGCCCAAGACAGGCGGCAAACACACGTAACACCAATCAAGCCAAGACAAAGCTGCAGATCTAAAAAGGGAGCAGTGAGTGACTGCACACACCCAGGAGTCATGCCTGGCCCTGGGCCCTGGGGCCTCTCCAGGGCACAGGCGGGCCGCAGGTTTGACCGCCTGCGGCGACGGTAGTGCGGTATCCACGCGCCCGCCCCCTGTCGGCGCCCCATGTTAGCAAGGGCATGACGGTGCAGGGGTGTTTGCCCGGGGCCCCCCGGCACCCCCGCGCCGCAGGCGGCAGATACAGGGGTGGAGGGGCCGCAGTCGGGCGGGTGCAGCAAGTAACGCCCCCCTTGCAACAGGGCGTGGACAGCAAAAGAGTGCAGGGAGTGTGGGAGTCGCGGGCTCGACCCGCTGGTGGGAACATGGTAGACCAGGTGACAAGATGGACAGACCGCGTACAACAACACGATATCAACGCAACGCCATGAAAACAGCAAGCCTCGCTGCGCGCAGCGCCCCCCACCCCGGGCCGCGCCGGCCGACGGCAGGGCTGCACGGGGCCGGTCCCCTCGGATGTGAGCGGTCATGGCGCGTCCTTGGGGCCGGCCCAGCACAGCCTGGGTCTGCACGCCAGTCACGCACAGCAAGTGTCAGGGTTGTTTTAGCTTTGCTGGGGGTTTTGCTTTGCTTTGTTACAATCGTCTAGGGTTTTGCTTTGCTGGGGGTGGCGCCGCGCGAAGCGCGGGCCCCGTGCTTTGCTTTGCTCTGTTACAATCGTCTAGGCCA